AATACCCAAATGATTTTCAATTACTGTTAATGTATGTAAGCACTTACACATACATGTCAATTTCATTGACGATATCATTTTTGAATGAGTAGATGCAATCATGCACACTATCACGTTCAGATATAAACACTGATCACGCAAGAATTCTAGTGGTTCTAGATAGAAAATATATCACAGTCGCTATAACAGATTGCGATAGTTACTAGTCAGTTTATTCAATGGATTCTGTAGTTACACTGGGTTCTGTAGATATACTGCGTTCTGTAGTTACCATTGATTCTGTAGTTGTTCTTGGTTCGGTAGTTACACTGAGTTCTGTAGTTAGCTTGGGTTCTGTAGTTACACTGGGTTCTGTAGTTACCATTGATTCTGTAGTTACACTGGGTTCTGTAGTTACACTGGGTTATGTAGTTACACTGCGTTCTGTAGTTATACTTGGTCCTGTAGTTACACTGGGTTCTGTAGTTACATTTGGTTCTGTCGTTATCATTGGTTCTGTAGTTACACTGGGTTCTGTAGTTACATTTGGTTCTGTCGTTATCATTGATTCTGTAGTTACACTGGGTTCTGTAGTTACATTTGGTTCTGTCGTTATCATTGGTTCTGTAGTTACACTGGGTTCTGCAGTTACATTTGTTTCTGTCGTTATCATTGGTTCTGTAGTTACACTGAGTTCTGTAATTATATTGGGTTCTGTGGTTGTCGTGGGTTTTGTTGTTACATCGGGTTTTGTAGTTACAGTAGGTTCCGTAATTTCATTGGGTTGTGTAGTTACATTGGGTTGTGTAGTTATATTTGGTTCTGTAGTAATAATGGGTTCTGTATTTGCCATTGGTTCTGTAGTTACATTGGGTTCTGTAGTTACCATGGGTTCCGCAGTTACATCGGGTTTTGTATTTACAATAGGTTCTGTGATTTCATTGGGTTGTGTAGTTACATTGGGCTGTGTAGTTACACCGGGTTCTGTAGTTACAGTTGGTTCTGTAGTTGCATTGGGTTTAGTAGTTGCACTGGGTTCTGTAGTTACATTTGGTTCTGTAGTTACCATTGATTCTGTAGTTACACTGTGTTCTGTAGTTACACTGGGTTATGTAGTTACACTGCGTTCTGTCGTTATCATTGGTTCTGTAGTTACACTGGGTTCTGTAGTTACATTTGGTTCTGTCGTTATCATTGGTTCTGTAGTTACACTGGGTTCTGTAGTTACATTTGGTTCTGTCGTTATCATTGGTTCTGTAGTTACACTGGATTCTGTAGTTACATTTGGTTCTGTCGTTATCATTGGTTCTGTAGTTACACTGAGTTCTGTAGTTACATTAGGTTCTGTGGTTATCGTGGGTTTTGTTGTTACATCGGGTTTTGTAGTTACAGTAGGTTCTGTAATTTCATTGGGTTGTGTAGTTACATTGGGTTGTGTAGTTATATTTGGTTCTGTAGTAATAATGGGTTCTGTATTTGCCATTGGTTCTGTAGTTACATTGGGTTCTGTAGTAATCATGGGTTCTGTAGTTACCATGGGTTCCGCAGTTACATCGGGTTTTGTAGTTACAATAGGTTCTGTGATTTCATTGGGTTGTGTAGTTACAGTGGGTTTTGTAGTTGCACTGGGTTCTGTAGTACTTTGGTTCTGTCGTTATCATTGGTTCTGTAGTTACACTGGGTTCTGTAGTTACATTTGGTTCTGTCGTTATCATTGGTTCGGTAAGTTACACTGGGTTCTGTAGTTACACTGAGTTTCTGTAGTTACACTGGGTTATGTAGT